AGAACACACTGTAAAGTGAATTGACTGTATATTTGTGGGCGAATGCGGCAGCCAATTGCGCACAGCAATGTCCCACAAACAGTCGTAGATTGAAAATGACCAAATTATTATTGTTTTTGGTTTTGGAGGGATTATTATTAGGCGTGTGGAGTAAGGAAACTTGCCCAAGGTTTCGCCCTGCCTGGCATTGAACTCAGGTCTCTCACTTGCAAAGCGAGTGCTCTAACCACTGAGATTTTGTGAAATATTACTCTTACAGACTTCAGAATAATTGAAGGGAACATATTCCCATTAACTAGCTAATAAAGGATACAGTTGACACTTTCTCCCGAATATTTGAAATTTGATAGCTCTGGTGCATATGTGAAGTTCATGCTAACTTGAGAGTTTTCTTCAGTAGAGAAAAATCTTTTGACACTTGTTTTATTTGCCTATGCTGAAGTTCTGATGAACAAAAAGATGCCAGCTTGACTCAGTTGACAGCACTCTCACTGCTGGTTGTAAGTTGACAATCTTGGGTAACACTCTAATGCAGCACCGGGGGAATGTATCAGAGACATCGAAAGGATGGGATGTTAAACTGAGATCCGTCTATCTGTTCAAGTGGATGTTAAAGATCCCATGGTACTAAATAATTTGTACATTATATGAGGTCCTTCTCTCAAGACTAAAGAATCATAGCTTGTCTAGTCATTGCTCGTAGCTCATTCCTCTAACACTGGAGATCATCCTCATTGCTCTCCTCTGCACTGGTCTAGAGCCAGAGCAGCCTCTTGTCGGGGTGATCAGAACTATATGCAACAACAACAACAAGATTACATTTGTATAGCGCCTTTCACGTTGGGAGAGCATCCCAAGGTGCTGGACAGTGTACAGTATTTCAGACCCGAGCTTGGTACAGGAGGGGAGAAGGGAGGGGAGGGGAAGGGGGGTGGCCGATGGCATGGTCGAAGAGGAAGGTTTTGAGGCGAGACTTGAAGGAGGCTAAGGAGGGAGCGAGGTGGAGTGATTGGGGGATGGAATTCCAGAGGTTGGGGGCAGAGTGGCTGAAGGCTCTCCCCCCAATGGTGGGGCCGATGAGATGTGGAGCAGGCCCAACTCGGCTGAGTATTCAAGGTGTGGTTTGAACCAGAGCAACATTTCAGCAGCAACATTTTTGCTGTTAATTTATTGGGATTTAAAATGCAGAATTAGATTTACAAATAATACAACCTGAGAATGATGTCTGGGAATCTAAACTCAATTGATTTAGTAATATAGCAGCATCCTGTTTGCTTTGTTTATTGCTACCTCACACTGTTTTCATAGTAAGCAACGAATCAGCTGACATCCTTAGATCTCTTTCAGCTTTTACCCTGGCAATGTGCCTCTTTATCCAGAGGACAATCCACTGGAAAATCCTGGGAGGGATGTACATTATGGCACATATTCTCTGAAAATTATGTTCATAAACAATGGAGTTGAAGATGCAGCATTTGCTACACAGATTCATAAATAGCCGCTTTGTTCCTGGAAAATCATATCACAGATTCATAGAAGGTACAGCTCAGAAATACGTTATTCATCCCATTGTGTTCAGCTCGCTCCAGCCCATATCCCGCCTTTTTCCTCATATCCCTCAACTTTATTCTCTTTTAACTATATGTTGAATGTGCACATTGTTGTCGCCCCACTAACTGTCTATGACAGAGAATTCCATGCTCCTACCATTCTCCGTGTGAAAGTATTTTTCTTTATTTCCATTCTGGATCTCCCAGTTCTGATTCTAAAACCATGTCCTCTTGTTCTGCAACAGAATTTCTGCAGATTGGCACAATGCACTTCGAGTTATTTGGTTATCTGTGATTCCATGTTGCTATTTGTAAGTCTAATTCTGCATTTTATACTCCGATAAATAAATAGCAAAAATGATGCTGCTCAAATGTATTAAATCTTTCAAAGAACACTATTCCAGTTAAAATAGCTGTTTGAAAGTGTCATGGCTATACTTTTAGCGTACACACTCCTAATTTGCCTTGTATTATTGTGGACATGCCTGGCTTTGCCAGCATGTTTCCACAGAGCCGATTTTGCACTAGAGGAGCTTGCTTTTTTTTATCTCTCTCCCTCTACTCCTAGATATTTTTACACTGAGATATTAGACTTGAAATGATCCTGCATTGAAGTGCTCTGGTAAGCTGGAATAATTGTGGAATAATTGGCAAAATCAATGTTCGGATAAAACAAATGATTCTTTGGCATCAATTGTCTTATGTTTTGTTGTTTTTCCTTTGCCACTACCGCCCTATTTCTAACCTGCCCTTCCTTGCAAAAGTCCTAGAACGTGTTGTTGCCAATCAACTTCACTGCTCCCTTTGTGTGTTATACATTGTGCTGCTCATGTTATATATGCTCTTTTGGTTGAATAGTTATACAGACATTTGAAAAGTCTTGTCTTTTTATACTGTGTTTTTGTTGAGATTTAATCAAGTATATTTATTGTTTTAAACTCCTCAACAGGTGAAAGTATCCCCATGATTAATTTTCCTTAAGCCTAATCCTGATTAGGATTAGCAGAAGTTCTCCGAGCACATCTCAGGGTTACAACATCAACTGTAGAAAGACCCAGAATTAAAATGGACAAGAAGAAGAAACAGGTATTGCTGTAATAATATTTAATATCAACAGAGAGCTTTGTTATATTCAGAGAATTAAAGTATGGCTCATCAGGCACCTGGTCAGAAGGCTGTGGACTTCAATCCCCATGTCAGGATTTGAGCTCATAGTCTAGGCTGCCAATCCAGGGCAATCCTAATGGAGCGCTGCCCTGTTGAGATGTAAACTGAGGTCCCATCAATCTGTTCTTCAGGTAGATACAGTACAACACAAATTTATATTTATATAGCTCTTTTCAGCTAAAGCACTTAAGAATCCTAGTTTGGTACCCAAGGTGAAGGTGGGAGCCGAGTGGAGTGGGGATGCGAAGGATAACTGAAAGTGCAATCAAAGAGGCAAATCTTCAGATGAAGCTTGAAAGAGATGAGGGAGTCAGAGTGATTTTGGAATGGAATTCAAGAGAGTGGGGGCAGATTGGCTGAAAGCTTGACCACTGATGGTGCAACATGTAGGGTGGGGGTCATGAAAAGGGCTATTGCCCACTGAATATTTGGTATGGTTTGAGGAGGTCATAGTGGTAAAGTGGGGTGAGACTGTGGGGGGATTTAACGTAAGATCCCATAACACTTTTAACAGAAAAGGGTATTCCAGCCTGCATTCACTATGGTCCCACCTTTTGTTACGCCATGCTGGTACTTCTCTGTCTTGCCGCCTCTCTATGTCTTCAAAAGCAACCTAAAAACCTGCAGGGTCATATGATGGCTTAGTATGGATTAAATTCAAACTTGAGATCCACAAGTGAAAGGACAGAGTCGAATGCACAGCTCTACCTGGTATCCCACCAAATGGGTTTAAAGGTGAACTGTGAAATTTATCCTGTAACAGCTTGAAATGCAATACAAATTTATATTTATATAGCGCCTTTCATGTCGGGAGGGTGTCCTAAGGTACTGGACAGTCTAAGTTTTGCATTCAAGCTGGGGGTGGGAGCTGAGTGGGTGGTGGCGAAGAGGGGAAATATGGCCGAAAGAGTGCTCAAAGAGTAAGGTCTGAAGATGGACCTTGAAAGAGGGAAGGGAAGGGCTGAGGTGATGGGACTCCAGGATGGAAGTCTGAAAGTTCAACCACAGATGGTGGGGCGAGGGACGTGAATTGGTTGGTGCCCACTGAGCAGAGGGAGAAACACGGTTTGTAGGGTTGGAGGAGGTCACAGAGATATGGTGCGGAAGACAATGAAGGGATTTAAAGGTTAGGGTGAGGATCTTGAACGTGATCTGCTGGGGAATGGGAAACCGGTTGAGCCGAGTGAGGATGGGGAAGATAAGTTTATGGAGCCTAGTGTGGGAGAGGACACAAGCTGCAGAGTTCTGGATGGTCTGCAACTTGTGGAGGAAAGAGGTAGGTAGTCCAGAGAGCAGATAGTTGGCTTAATCTAGGTTAGATGCCATGAACCCATGGATTAGGTGGCCTGTGGGGAGAAGTAGGCAGGCATATTGCAGAGGTAGGGAAATCTGAGTGGATCAGAGCACAAATGTGGATTTTAAAGGACAATTAAGACTCAGAACAGCATACGGAGGTCCTGCACAGGCTCGCGAGATTGAGTCTTCATCCATATAGATTATTACTGTCAGCACCCGTGGTCAGAAAGCACTGAAGGGAGCCAATCAGGAAAGCCTCTGTATTACTGATGTTCAACTGAAGAAAGTTAGCTCTCATTCTGGAATTGAGGTCCAACAGGTAGTCAATCAGGACAGCAGTGGTCCTGAAATCGAGGTGGGCGCAGAGAGATTGAGTGTCATCAGTATACATGTGAAAGTTAGCCTCATGCCTGCAGATTGTATCATCGAGTGGGAGCATGAAATGTCAGCAACCCTAAACTCTGAGGGTTTATTACAGGGCATAGGGATACAGCAACATTGTACAATATGTTACGTCTTGAAGAGTAAATCCATTCTGTAAGTCAAATGGGTGAATATATTGTACCAGACAAATAACAGTGAAACAAGTCACGTCAGTTTCAAGCTACTGTGCCTGAAAATGCATATACAAAGTGTTAGTTGCCCATTGAATACAATCACACTGAGCGTCCAAACATGCAGTCGAGAAAAATCTAGGCACTGAATAAAAAACAAAAGCTTTGCTTTTCTGAACAGGGTTTAAAGCTTTGATGCAACCCACATTGTGTGACTTGTGTCTCTCTCCACAGAAAGAATGACAACTCACTTTCGGTACTGCTATTGTGTGAATCGATCTGCCTGCTCACACAGGTACAGTAGGAGAATGTACGTCTGCAATGTTCCTTCCTGACTGGATAAAGTCCTTCGTGTGACAGGCAAGGAGAAGTCCCAGAAAGTCTTTTGAAACATCACAGTGAAAGCAAGTTGCTGAAATTAAGTGGAGTCACAATGGATTGCCAGACAACAGAGGATTCCACGGAAAAACAGATAGTTAATTCAGATGAGCTGGAATGCAAGATCTGCTACAGCCCTTACAATCTGAGAAACAGAAGACCGAAAGTTTTGGAATGCCTTCACAGAGTGTGTGGCAAGTGTCTGTATAAGATTGTGGACCTCGGAGACTCCTCGTCAAGTATCATTTGCTGTCCTTTCTGCAGGTACGAGACAAGCATCCCAGACGATGAAGTTAGTGGACTTCCAGATGACAGTAACATCCTTGCTGCTCTAACTTGCAAGGAAAAGAGTAGAGAATTCCCATTGGACAACACATCTGAGCTTCTTCTGACTCCTAAAAGACTGGCCTCCTTTGTGAGTCCTTCTCATAACTCCTCAAACTGTCTCGTTATCACCATAATGGAAGTTCAAAGAGATTCTCCACAGTCTCAGAGCTCATCTTCAGTCGTGGAATTTTACAACTCGAGTTTTGATTCTATGCCCTCAATGTCTCGAGAGTGGGCAGTGTGGAATTGCACTTCCCTGCTCTGCCATACAATGAGCAGAATCTTGGTCTGGCTACTAGGACTCCTGTATTTCAGCTCCTTGCCTCTTGGAGTTTATCTGCTTATGGTTCAAAAGGTCACACTGGGCATCATATTTGTCAGTCTGGTTCCTTCCAGTCTTGTTATATTTATGGTCTATGGTTTTTGTCAATGTTTATGTCATGAGTTTTTGAATTGTATGAATTCATGAAAACACAATCTAAAATTAAGTACATTCAATAACAGATGTGTGCAGGTTTTATGTGATGTTACCTACTGTATAAGGTGTGAAATACTGTTTCTGCGTATGTCTGGAAAAATATGCTTAGTTTTTTTTAGTATAGTTGTGTACTGTGGAGTGCAATATATATTTTTTTATCGAAAGTTAATTTCTGTCATTTTTTATTTGTAAAATGGATAAATCCACCACTTAAAAGGCACTGGGGAAGATAAATCTCACAGATTGCCAATACATTTTTAAAGGCTTGAAAGGAAATGTTATTAAGATAACCAGAATTTACTAACTTATTAATAGGTAAACATCATTTCAAAAGGTTACTTCAGGGTCCTTTTAAAGTTTGTGGCATCCCTGATCCAACCGTTACTATATATTATAGAAATCTTGATCATTAGATTAACATGTAGCACACAATGCTTTGGTGAATGTGTTGCGCATTTACCAAGATATAGCTATATAAAGGTAGAGCACGGGATATAGTTCTGTGAATCCACCAATCTGATACCAGTAGATTTGCTTTGTATAGTTGTGGGTGCAAGCAGTCATTAATAGTATTAGGGCTGCATAAGGATCTGATGAAAATGTAAGAGGTAACATCCTCTGGACTTAGAACCTTTGTGAAGGTGGTAAAGATGTGAGAGTAGCAATACAGATCCACAATTAGTTCTGGCCAAGCCCTTATATCTGAAAAAAGATTGTGGACGACTATTAGAATCAAGGACAAAAAATATTAGCCTTCCTATCCAACAGTTAACAGTCGTGGCTGTAAAGGGTGTTTATTTTTAGGATTCTTAGACTTGTGTGTGGGTAGAACACTTGTCAGTACAATAATGATTGGACTGTAACTATGATTGTTGTTAGCACAGTACATACAGTTGGACAGAATATTCAAAATGGAAAGGTAGGTATTAGACCATAAATGATTTAATTACCATGTGGTGTGATTTGGGGTAATTAGTTTATAATTTGAAGTGTTTCAAATTTTTCCTGCACAATAACACTGAATTGCCATCCAAAAAAAACAGAGTGTGATGTGAGTGAGCTGTGCAGTGCACCTCCAGGCCCTTTACATTTGTGCATCTTTGTGGAGGAAACTGGGTGGCTGTATCTTTGAGGGACGTTGGGCAGATGTGTTCATGGAAATTGAATGGATACATTTTGAGGGAGATAGGATGAATGAGTCTGAGAGAGAGAGAGAGAAAGATTGGATAGAGATATTTTGAGCTGGTGACATATTGAGGGAGATTAATGTTTGTCAAAACATTGGACTTTGAAGGTTACTGGATGAATATATCCTAGAAAGAAGTTGAGCAGCAGTGAAGTGGAAATTGGGATTTATGTATTTTGAGGGAACTAAGATGGGTTTTAGGGAGTTCAGTAGCTGGACATTTGATGGTGGCTGAGTCTGAAGATAAAATGGTTCCATTTTGATACAGATAGGAATAGATCGATAGTCACACGGACATAGAGAGAGAGAGGTAGAAGGCACTACACACACAAATTCATAGATTAACAATTCAGTCTTATGGACCGAAGTTTAATCAACAGAAGTTGAGATTTATTCCCAACTCTCCATTCTTCAGCTTTATAAAACATGGCAAAAGAACTGTATTACATAAATTGCTCCGAGTCTTATTTGTATGTGGTGGTGTGAGCCTTAGGGACATGTACAGGTTAATATGTCAGTTAAGACCATTAGTTCTTTCAGAAGCAATGTACCTAACTATAATAAAGGAACAATATTTGTAGCTATACCCTTGATACCATTCATAACATAGTTTTGCTAGTTGTAACTAGGTTAACAGACCAAGTGCAAGCCAATGTTTGATTTGAGATTTTTCTTTTTAAATGGATTTATCTGAGAGACTATCCAGATCATTGCCTTATGCGTTTTAACATATCATGTACTCTTATTTCAAATTAAAGACAGTCTGAGAAAATATTTTTTCTTACATTGTATTGGACAAAAATAATATTTCTTGCACTGAATTTATCACTCAAATCCTGGTGTGCTAAGTGTGTAGATATTTAACTACCTTGTGAAGGAAAAAGTTACTTCAGATATTGTATGTTCACACTAATCTGTGGTATGATATCATAGAATCTTACAGCACAGAAGGAAGCCATTCAGCCTATTGGATATGTGATTGAAATTGTATTTAATGGAGCAGCCAGTGTATAAGAGTCAATATAAACAATACTTGTTCACTCTGTGTTTATTCCTTATGCAATTTAAGGATTGTGGTCAGCTAGGTTTCAGAATCAGAATTTGTGATCTTGACAAAGAAAGGGGTTGGTTCTGATCAATGGCATAGCAATCTAGTGAACAAATAGGGAATTGGAGTCTGGGACATTATGTGGTGCACTTTTATATTTGTTACTGGTCTGTCTTTGCACCCTTGCTGTTTTCAATTACAGTAATCTGTCTCCAGTGTGCTTACTCTAAAGAACCTTTTTGGTGTGAATAGGGCTGAGTTATCACTCAATTGTTGTGGTAACATTGAAACTCTACAAACAGTCTCAGTGGTTTGAGCAGAATCTAAGAAGATATTGGAATTAATCTGCCCAGATCTCAAAAGAGATCTTATTCAGAAATTGTTGTCTAGTTTCACTACATGTATAAGGAATAATCCAACTCCCTGTACCACACAGCATAAGAATGCAGGTTCATGGGCGGTCACCTCTCTCTTTCTCTCTCTCCCAGCATGTGAAGCTCCAGATTGTTGCACTGCCCCAACAATAGGCCAGCAGAGGAGGCTCAGCATCTCCACCCGGGAAAGAGAGCCTCCTCCCTCTGCTTTCATACACTTCCTAGGCCAAAAGTGGCTCAAACAAAGGTTTTGGCTCAACAAAACCCTGAGAACAGTTTGTCTTCTAGACCTGTTGGTCATTGAATGGCACATGGGCTAGAAAATAATAATGTATATAAAGAATGAAGGTAACAGATACAAAAATAAAAAACTACCAAAATATGCAAAATTCATAGGCCTAGTATTTGTGCTGCTGATACCCAACCTGTCATTCAAAGGAATAGAAAGTATCTCAAGTTTGTTGTCATAAACAATACACCAACTAATCACGGTGCTGATATTCTTGTCTGTTAAATCTATGTGAATCAGGCTCAGGCTGAGTGTACAGTAACAAGTGGAATAAACATTAACCAATGAGTTTAAAGTATATGTGAACTGCTTAATCTCTGTTCAAAGAGATGTCTCAGTGCCAGAACAGAATTTCACACTAAGATGTTTAAATAAACATGACTGGCAACACTACAGTACCCACCCACACATTGATTTCTTGCATCAAATCAATTCAGTTTATGTACATTTGTGTTTTATTTATAGCTGTCATAGTTGTTCATGGCATATAATCATGTTACGAAGCTTTTTTTAAATATATATAACAATGCTTTCAAAGGCACTTTCTTGAAATACAATATCATGTTTTGCACCAAATAATATAATAGTGTCAAGAACTGCTCCACCTCCTGAGACAATGTGCTCCGAAACTTAGGTTCCACTCTGTACAAAATATATTAATATAGCAGAGCGGATATCTCTCATATAGCAGAGAGAGGCTATGCCTTGTCACTCACTATAAAAATAATAATAACCCTTTCATTTGAAATAGCACCTTATCACGTCTTTGAGACGTCTCAAAGTGCTTCATAATATATACTGTAAAGTGAATTGACTGTATATTTTGAGGGCGAAATGAGGCAGCCAATTGTGCACAGCAGTGTTCCACAAAAAGTCGTGGATTGAAGTGACCAATTTATTATTATTATTATTTTTGAAGGAATTATTACTCCCAGAAAAGTGATCCGTCAATTGACCAACAACCAGGTTCCTACTTACTGCTATATCAGGACAAAATCAGTTAAGAACAAATTCCATCATTCACCTTCCATGCACATTACAAAACCTGTAAATTCATCAACCATCATCCATACACATTACCATATACCAGTAACAACAACAACTTGCATTTATCTTGCATCCTTCTTGCAGAATAGTGTCTCGGAGTGCTCCACAGTGATGGGGTTGAACACCAAGCAAGGCAGAGGGATTCTCAGTATCGCTTCACCCTGAGGCTGCAATTCATTGTCTTGGCTGACACTTCATTACAATACCAGGGAGATGATGAATTGTCAGGGGCTTTTACCCTATGAATGAATGGCTAAACCAAGACTTGTCTGCCTAATTTGAAAAGGACATTCGAGTTCCTATGGCACTATTCAAAAAGAAAAGGGAGTTTCTTTTTGGTGTCCTTGTGAGCAACCCTCAAAATAAGGTTGATCATTCACCTCATGGTTGCTTGTGGAACTTTGCTGTGTGCAAAATAGCTGCTGCATTTGCCTACAAGAAACAGTCAATTAATTTAAAAATTATTTGTGAAGTGCTTTGAGACATCTTGACATAAGATGTCATATAAATGCCAATTCTTAATTCTTTCTTAATAGTTTAATTGAGGGATTTTTTTTCCTGTATCCTGGTCAACAATCATGCAAATAAAATTGGTCAGTCGCCTCATGGCTGTTTGTGGGATAATGCTGTCTGCAAATTGGCTACCACTTTTGACAACAAAGTTTAGTGACTGTTTACGGGCAAACATTCATAATCCGGTATGTGAAGACAGTGTGTTCAGTCTAAATTCTAAGCATAGTGTAGGAACTATTGAGCTACAGTTTTGTAAGGATTACCTCCGCTGATTCACTATCAGGTCACTGATTTTACTGTTATTTCCATTTGTTAGTCACTTTCCCATTCATCCCCTGAGGCAATGAATATTGCACCATAAGTCCCACACCGCCTGGGTTTGTAAACTATAACAAAAGATTGTGCTGGTTCAGTAATGCACATACCCAGTGCTACCATTGTTCACTTTTTCTGTATTGTCCAACCATTGTAGTGAACAGTAAAAGAAAACAGTTTTACACAATGCAAACTAATACATTTGAATGCAGCTGCAGTACTTTCATTGACATTTCTAGGCCAATGTCAAAACAGAGGATTTTGAAAAGCTCCTGAGCATGTAATGTAATCAAATCCGTAAAGGTGCCCAGATTTTAGCAATTATAGAGAACACAATCTTATCAATGAAAACTGAATAC